AACGCTGATGAATGAACCAGGAATGGTTACTGCCTTAATCATGAATGGTAAGAGAATCTTGGGTGATTTTAACTTCAACAACGCTCGTTGAGAAAAATCTTGGTGAGAATTACCATCTTTGTAGTGTCAGGAAGAGAACCAAAGGATATTATAGTCTCAAAGGGAGTCACCTCATTCACCGCTGGAGAGGGAACTATAGGAAATTATAATCTGGAAGGAAATGTCACCTCACGCTCATGCCGGAGAGGGAAACATTTGAAGAAGGAATTACCACCTCACACGCCGTTGGAGAGGGGACCATAAGAGAATATCACCTCACGCTCATGCTGGAGAGGGGAACATCTGAAAAAGGGATTACTACCTCACACACCGTTGGAGAGGGAACCATAAGAGAATATCACCTCACGCTCATGCCGGAGAGGGGAACATCTGAAAAAGGAATTACCACCTCACACGCCGTTGGAGAGGGGACCATAAGAGAATATCACCTCACGCTCATGCCGGAGAGGGGAACATCTGAAAAAGGAATTACCACCTCACACGCCGTTGGAGAGGGGACCATAAGAGAATATCACCTCACGCTCATGCCGGAGAGGGGAACATCTGAAAAAGGAATTACCACCTCACACGCCGTTGGAGAGGGGACCATAAGAGAATATCACCTCACGCTCATGCCGGAGAGGGGAACATCTGAAAAAGGAATTACGACCTCACACGCCGTTGGAGAGGGAACCATAAGAGAACTTCTACTGAGTCTTTATCAGAAAAATCTGTTTGGAGTCGATTTAACTGGACTAGAGAAGTCTTTGAAATATGTTTGAGAATTTCAACTGCACCCTTCCTGAAAGGTAGAGGTTAGTTATATGCGATGCATGATATGGATTAAGCAAATATGGATACGATTTGTATGATATGATGTGTACATGCATGCTATGATGATGTATGTAAAGTTTTATGTATGTTTTTGTCTAGGAAAATGAATTCTTGACGGGTGCCGGGAAGTCATATCCTGGGCTGATGTTGAGGAAGAGATTTTGCTTCCGCTGTGGATGATCGTTGCAAGAATGCCGGTAGGAGGAGATAACTCCATTGAGGAATGAAATAATTCTGTGGGAGAAAGGATACTCTAGCGATCATGCTGGGGAGTGCTACTCTGTGGGGATAGTGATGCTTTGCTGAGTTGATGAAGATAACTCCGCTGGGGATACCGTTGACGAGTTATGCTGGGGATATCCTTGTTGTGCTGGAAGTGTTGATAGACTTCGCTGGGGGTAGGAAGATACTTTGCCGAGGACGCTCTTTCCGTGGCTTTTGGCTGAGGATAACCCAGTTATATCCTGTTACGGAAATAACTCTTTAAATCAAGCCGGGACGACGCGTTCGTGCTCTGCGAGGGGATAAGCTGCCAGAATCTACTGGGGATAAGCTTGCTGCTTGGGGAGATATGAATTCCAACTTTCCTGGGGAAACTGGATTGGACTCTTCTGGGGGAAGTTTGAATTGCAGGGAAGTGATTCTTTTGAATATTGGGATACCGCCGGGGAACAATCTTTAGACCAAGACTGCCGGGGATGCTTGTTAAGAATGTGTGCTGCTGGGGAGGTATTGAGATCTACGGGAGGATACTCAATTTCCTTGATATTTGATGATTTTGCTTGGAGAAGAGTGTATTGATTTGTTGAACCACTCTCTGGGGAATTAAGATACACTTGGCCTCGTTCTTTAGCTGAACCTACCTTGGTACCTTGGAGGATAGAACAATTAGACTGCTCAGCCAACTCTTTATTGCCCCTGTTTCTAGTGTCACCTGCAATGAATTCTTTCGTTTCGTATGTAAATATTTATGAGTTAGCAAATTATTGTCAATGCATACATCACAAATTGAACCTTGGACGTTCTTCGCAAAACAAAACAGAAAAAGGAAAAATATTTGGCACGTTTAATTGAAAATGTATTTTTATTGATTTTTGAATGGCCTGAAAATAGGCGTTTTGTATACAAGAGGCTGACGTCCTAGTAAGAGGTACGTCGCCGACCAAAAGAGTTTATACAAGTTTTGTACAAAAGAAAAATAAAACAGCTGTGTGAAAGATGAGTGATCCACTGGGTTTCAACTCTGCTATTGCCTTTATAACTCCGAGCGTCTCATCATTTGATGACCTTAGTTGAAGGTGATGCTGACTGATCGATGCCGTTTGAACTTGATGCAGATACCGGATTCTGGATGCACAGTGATCAATGAGACATAGTTTTACGCTTTATCCCTAATTTTTGCCTGGACCGCCCTTTCGGGTTTTCAGTCCACCGGGATACCCATTTTTGCCCAAGCCGCCTTTTCAGGTTTTCGACTTGCCGGGTGTACAGATTTTTTTTCATTTTCATCCCTACATTTTGCCCGAACCCTTTTGGTTCGACGGGAAGCCCTAATTTTTGCCTAGGCATGTCAGCCTAGCGGGTCTTTTTTCATGCGTAGTATTTTTTAACTATGTCTGCATTGGCGGGGTGAGGAAGGTCGTCACCATCCATGTTGGTTAAGATCATTGCTCCTCCTGAGAACACATGCTTAACCACAAATGGCCCTTCGTACGTAGGGGTCCATTTGCCCCTTGGATCACTCTGAGGAAGTATGATTCTCTTGATAAATTTTTCTTACTATTTTTTATTTTATTTAAATATTGTTGGAAAGACACAAGAAACTGGAAATGCATTTAGTAGCAGTGCATAGGCAGATGAAAAGATTAAAGAAACATGAAAAGCTAAAAGATACTGAATGCATACATTAAAATGCATTGTTACTACAGTCACGACACAAACACAATTTCTTTTAACACATTTAATTACTCTAATTTGATATGAAGTTAAGTCGGGGAAAAATTAATTGTTCTTCAACCTTTTACTTGAGCAAGATTAATATTTGAATTTTGAAATGTTAAAGTAGTCTATGTATGGGTTATGGAAACATCATAAGATTAGGAAAAGTTGAAAAAATAATTTAATATAAAGTTTTAAGGTGACTGATGCGAGAGACAACAATGTTTCAATTGTAAATCATTACTCGGACAAAATTTCAGACTCAAGTTTGAATTCCAATGCTAACTAGGCAATGAGTTTGGAACAATGAGAGTGAAAAGCATGAAATGATGAAGATGATAAGTCTTGATTTGGTTGAGGATGACATTTGTGCTGATTCTTCTTCATAATCAAGATTTTTGCAATTTTCTCATAATTAATACAAGTACAAAATCTTCTTCATTGTTCAAATTCTATTTTTTGTTCACTTAGTATGAGTGATCATTGTATTCAAGTGAAAGTGGTGTATTTTCTCTTGTATGTTATAAATTAAAAGGTGGTGTACCATTGCGATCATGTTAGATAGTTAAGAGAGTCAGGTGGATCGACTGTAACGTATATGACATAGTGTAATATCTACGGGAGTGTGACATGACTAGAATCACCCGGGAATAAAACCTTTAAATTAATACAAATACAAAATTTTAGTGGAAGACATGTATATTATTTTTTACGCATTTAAAGTTAAATATCATGAGTATTATTTTAAAGAGTATATTATTTTAATATATTTTTTCAGGGATTAGAATCACTTGATGATGGTGAACGTTCTTGTGAATCTAACTATCAAATTGGAGATAATGAATCATCAAGAAGGACATATTAGATTTTGCTACGAATTAATTAGATTATGAACTTTTTTATGTATTTTTTACATTATGATACATATTATTATAAGATTAAAATTTGATATGTTTTTAGTTTGGAACTCGTATTTTTCTGACGATATGATGTTTATTTGATATAATATATTTGTTGTTGAAATTTTATTACGTTAAAAAATGTTAGAAAATAAAATAAAAAGTTAAAAAAATATTACCAAAATAAAAATAATAATTTAAATAAAAAAATTATAAAAAATAATACTATAAATAAAAAAATTGAGATGTTAATAATTTAAATAAAAAATAATATTATGATAAAAAATAATATTAGAGATAAAAATTAATAATGATTTAAACTGTTGTTAAAAATAAACATTAAATAAATAGTATCGATTTAAACCGTTACCAAATAAATTATATAAGTGTTTGAACTGCCATGATTTCACACTCACGATGATTTAAAACTATGGTAACAAACATAATTCAAACTGAATTTCACGACGGTTTGTAACCGTTGAACTTGCAATTTGCTTCGTTTACGTAATATTGCAATTTATAATCGTTGGAGTGACAATTTTAGTTACCATTGTAGTACAGCATGGTGACATGTGTTTTTATGACAGAACCACAACCGTCACACGACTTGTCATTTGAAACTGTTCTAACTGTTATAACCTTTAAAAAGTTGTTCTAATTGTTATAACCTTTAAAAAGTAACCGTCACAATTTTTTAATTTTCTTGTATGAACAGGAGGGAGAATAAGAACTCTTAAAGGTGTATCAGGGATATCAAATAAATAAAGATTGAGAAGAGTTAGACCGATGTAAAATTTGAGTTTAATAATAGGATGAATAAATGATTAAGTGAATAACTCTAGTTATCACTTCGATTTATTGGTTTGGTGATTTCTAAAAACTAAATTGAGAACCGAATCGAACAAAACCACCTCGATTTTTATTATTGGCTTGGTTAGGCTTTTTAACCGAACAAAAATAAATTACTTATTTTGTTTGATTTAGTTTAAATTATCGATTTAATCAATTTTCTCTGATTTGTTGACACCCGTATAATAATAGTGTGAAACTCAAAATCAAAAACCATAAAAATAGACTATTGAGTACGCTATTAAAAAAGTGGACCAAAATATCGCATTGATGAATACAATATTAAATTTATGATTAATACATTAACTGAAAAGTCAAGTCGTGATATTTTATTCATATTTGAGGTTTACTTATACATGACACATGTTTATGTCTGTGTGTTTGTAACCACCCATTTATTTTAAACAGCGAGATAACTGTTTTCCGAAGGTGGTCATTAAATTATGGACAGAAGGTGATAGCATAGCTAGGACCACCAAAGCAAGTGAAAGTTCCGGTCTTATCATCATAAGCATAACTATAAGCATCAGGGCATGCATTCTTAAATATCATAGAGTAATCTGTGGGTGGACATGTTGGCTGTGTATTATGACTTCCACGGCAACAATACTCATCTGTATTAAACTTCAAACAAGCACTCTGACAAGCAACCACACTTCCATCTGAGCCTTTCATTTGAAGCTGAGCAGGACATACACTGTTGATATTAGCCGGACAGCTTGAGGTTTTGCAATCACCACTCCCGCCTTGTGGAGTTACAGACATCGGCACGTTAAATCCGTCAACGTTGCTCACATCGTAGAAATCTTGTCCTCCATTTGGTGCCACTGTAATTTCTACCAAAGTTGCTGGTGGAATTGCGCCAGCGCCGTTGCACTCGACTTGACCGGACGCACAATCCGCTGTAGCACAACTAAACTTTCCGTTGTTGTTTGAGCATCCGGTTCGACCCCAAAACCTACCTGACCATGGAGAAGGAAGGTCAGTTATGTTGGTTGCTTGAGGATTCAACACAAAACCTGTTGTTGATAGTTGAGGCTTTTGGTCTCCAGTTAGTGTTCCTGGCCATACAGTGTATACACATTTATTGGTAAATGTCACCTTGGCTCCTCCAACCACTGCATACAAAAGCAAACACATATTATAAAAAAATTAACACAAGAATTTATCATCATAACAATTTATGGAAACTATAATTGAAATGATATATACCATAGAAGAGGAATGCAAAGCTAAGGCAGAGAGCAACACGAGTAATAGCCATTTTGATATTTGATGAAAATTGCACTCTACTTCTTTCCATTTTATAGGCTTCAAGGTTTGAATATTCAACGATTAATATTGGTTCACTCAACTAAAAGAAATTGCAATGTTTGTTTGTTCTGAATGTAAGCAACAATTCTAAGGAAATTATATTTTTGCAAGAAAAGTCTCAAACCTCAATAGATATTTGCGCGTGCATTTTATTATTTATTGTTCATGACAATTATTAGATTGAAAGAGTTTAGATATTTATCTATTTCTCTCTTTGAAATTTAAAGAATTATTATTTAATGGAAAACTTTAAAGAATATAATAACAATTTTAAATTTTATTTGAAAGAATATCGGGTGACGTAAGAAACAATTCGGAATTATAATTGGCAGGAAAAGTCTCAAACCTTATATTTCCCACGTGTATTTATTATTGTTCATTAAATTTATTATATTGAAAGAATTTATCCATTTTTTCTAATTAAAGAAAGTTATTTTTTAATAGAAAAGCTAAAAGAATATATTAATAAGTTGAAATTTTATTTGAAAGTATTTTGGGCATTATTTGTTTATGATGCATGGAACAATTGGCTTACATTGCAAGGGTCGGTTTGTTTTATCTTTTAAAAGAGTTATGAAGATCTGAAAACATTATTTTGGAGATTAAGTGCTAAAGACGGAGAATGTAAGAGTTCTTTGAATAAGTCATGTAAGGTTTTAATGACTTAGGTTCTGAAGATACATAGTTTTGATTCTTCTACAACATGCTTCATCAACAAATATATCAGAAGCCTCTGAAGACATAGAAGACGAAGACCAAGACTAAGGGATTGCGTATGATGGTGAGTATAAAAGTACAAAAGTACATTGTGACCACTACTCTCTAGAGTGGCACAAAGACAAACTTTTTTGTACTATTGTCTACCAGTCTCTCCATGATCGTTGGGAACAATATATATGTATTTGTGTTTTCTATTCTATCCTCCAGCGAATCTCTTTTTTCAGCTATAAAAGAAGTACTTGGAAGAATTTAAAATCAATGAAACAATTTGTTGTACCTCAAAATTTGCCCTCTCATTTTCTCACAAGATCTCTTTTGGTTCAAGACTGCACAAGGGTTGATCAACTCAAGACACCTCCTCAAGCACTAATGACTGAAATTAGGGTTTGAGGTTGCACAAGGTTAATTGAACTTTAAATGCCTCATATAACTTTCATGGATCATTATGGACCCTCAAGATTGATCATGTCAAGTTTCAAGTTTTGGATCACATTTTTGCTCAGTTAATTGATATGTTGACCTAAAAATCAATTGTATTGGGGAAAAAGTCAATTGTGGTCAATTTACTGTCAAACTTCATAACTTTTTATCCATATCAACATTGTAAACTCCTATATGTCATTTGATCAAATTTGGACCATAATTCCTCAAGAAATTTGATCAGATCATCAAAAGGGCAAAATGGTCAAAATTAGGGTTTTTATTGAGAAAGGGCAATTTCTGATTTTTGACCTAGCAGATGGTTAATTGGTTTGAGATATGATATCAAAGATTCAATTGCATCATTTTGACCTAATGACATGGCTCAAAACATTGCTCAAGGTCATTTGATTGATAGTTGATTTTCAATCAACTGCACACTAAAAAGTCAAACTTTGACTTTTTGGTCAAAATCAAGTGTCAAAGATCACAATTCATCAAAATATGTCAAAATGTGAAACTTGTTCATCAAGAAATCAAAAAGTTAAGATTTCATTTTGAAAAGACAAAGTTTCCAAACTTAGAAATTTTTCTAAGTGTTGAAAATTTCATTTTTTTTCCACAACTTTGAGCCAATTTTTCACCATGATGCAAGATGATTCAAAGGAAACTTTCAACATGAAAGTTGTAGATATCAATGAGATCTAAAACATTTCTTTACACAACTCCTCCTATAAATTCTTGGATTTAAAGTTATTAATCCATGAAATCATGGTCTTGAAACTAAAACACTTTGTGAAATTTTGAGCATTTTGGTCAGGATTTTGACCTAACTTCTGGACCAACTTTCACATAGTTCCATTTGGATTTTGCAAAAGTGATTCAAAGAGGGGTTGTAGAGAACATTTCAAGATTTCTAAAATGTCCAAGAACTCCTTGAGATCATTTTTGAGCAAGGATAATCGAAGGTCTGAAGTTAGGGTTTCAAGTTGTTTTACAAGGCAGAATTTCATGATGAACAAGAATGCAAATTCATGCTAGGTTTCACAATATTTGCTTTGCAGGCCTCAAACTTGTTTGGCACTCCATAATTAAATGTTTGCACAGCTGTTAGAGGCTTCAACTCAAGCATTCAATGCATTGTCCATACTTAATGCCATTTTGGGAAGAAAGTGCACATTGCCATTTTGGAAAAGTAGCTTTTATGCACAAAATAAGTTCTTGAGCTTTGCAATTGTTTTCTTCTGAACACACACAACCTATAACCCAAAAGAAACTTGTCTAAAGCCTCTTGGAACTCAGGCCATGCTTGTACTATGCCTTGAAACCATGTTCCCACTTTTCTTCAAAATCAAGTAACATAGCCATAACTTGTACTTGTATGATTCTGACTCTCTCAAGTGCTAGAACCTTTTCCTTACTTATGCACAAATTGTTTGCATCAAAACACACGAACACACAAGCTCCAAAACTCATAAAAAAGAATTGTATCACAAAACTCCATTATTGCATAATCTGACCAAAAACTTGAAACTCACCTCTCCCCTGTGCGTTTCCAAGCATTTTGGTTCCTAAAGCTTCTAAATATCAAATACAAACCATCCAAAGTCCTTTTGCCTAACTGTAACACCTCCATCATCAAGTTCCATTTTCAAAAACAGAGTTTTGCAAGTGGACTTCTCTAGAACTCCTCAGCCACTCTCAGCTCAAGCCAAGCATCAGATTAGCTTCCTGGGAACTTGAGGAAGCTAACCCAATCACTAGGACTCATTGAAAGTTGTTCAAACTCCATACACGACTCCATCTGCAAGAGGTAAGTTTTCAAACTTCTATCTCTTCATACAAGCATCATTTGGTTCTAATTTGTGAAGATAAAATGTAGATACCATTTCCACGAAGCTGTACATACCATAGTTTACATTTATATGGCCCGGACTTAGAGAATTTTAGAGTTGAAGTTTCTGAAATTTTTAGGTTTTAAATTAGGACCAGAAAAATTATCACTCATCTTGGACTTATAGCTTTAGTTATTTATATGGTTGGATTCGTGGGAAGAAATGCCACAACTTTCATGTTTGTACTTTCCATTTTCGTTGAGAGATGAAGAAGTTACAGGTACTCTGGCTGGCTGAAGGTTGAAGACGAAGTACAGACCTTGGAAGCATGTTACATTATGTATTTATCAATTCATTTTAATTAACAGATGTATAGCCACCCCAGTGGTAAGGCAACACGCTGGTAACTAAGAGGGTGTGGGTTCAACGCCCAGCGCGTTACCTTTTCTCATTTCTCACTTTTTTTCACTTTTTTTTTGTTTCCAAACAGGACGCTTGGGCATCCAACTTGGGCCTGTTTATATTCTTTCTTTTACTAACCCCTGACTTACTTCAGCATCCCTTGGCCCAATTTCATTATTTTTTTTCTTTTTTTCTTATTTTATTTTATTCTTTTTTCCTTTATTATTATTATTATTGTGATACGGTGGGAAAGAACTGACTGTTTTTTGGAATGCTGGTTTGCGTTTTGCGTTTGTTTTCGCAAAATGTCACGGTAAGCAAGAGTCGCCACCGTCTTTTATTTTATCCAACAAGGAAAGGAAAAAAGCACAGAAAAATTCCTTTTTCGAGATGTTTCTCGGGTCCGGGGGGTAGATTATAGAAAGGGGAGGTGTTAGCACCCTTTCTATCCGTGGTTATCCACGGGCTCTTAGGTACTTTCTCAAAGTGTTTTCAAAATTTGCTTTTCTTTGTGTTTGTGGGTTTGAAAGAAGTTTTTTGTTTGAAAGGAGTGTAAGTGTGAAAAGTTTTTGTTTTGTTTGAAAGAGCAAGTACTTAAGAACCATCTACCTACTCGAAAAAGGAATTGTTCTATGCTAATGTCCTTTAGACAATGCTATCCCACTATTGATGAGTAGGTAGCATCGTCGTTGGAGTTTAAGGGTCAATTTCGATTTAAGGGAAGTGTGGTCACTAAAGCAATGTTAGGACACCTTAGCGGTAACCCTAATGTCTTAGATCATTTTTCCGAGGCAACCATTTCGAGGCAACTATGATCTTTGGACAAGAGGGCGACCTCTAAAACTTCCTATACTCAATGACCACGTTCGAAGGCAACCAAGTGAGGTGTACCCTAAGAGTGCGCATGTGCGAGTGTGTTGTTTCGGTTAATTTTATCTTTGTACATGTCAATGGTTATCTATGTTGATTTTAAGTTCATACATTCGATCTTGTCATGCATTCCCTATTTACCAAACATCTAACAGTTTATAAGTTGCGGAAATTAAATTTGCGGAAATTAAGTCTAAACTATTACAAGGCGTCGGGTATTTACATCGCCAAAGACAACCCTTGAAATTAAAATGCGGAAAATAAAATAAAGCGATAAAATAAAGTCCTAATTAAAAGCTATTACATTCCGGGAAACAATTACATCAATATGGAAAAATGCATCGTGCGCGAAAAATTAAATCGAATGCGAGTTTTTAGGGTTTTGACCCTTTTTTGAGAGAAAGCATTTTTTGGTTATTTTTGAATTAAATGGAATTAAACTAAGTTAATAAAATAAATAAATTAATTAATTAATTAAAAAAGATATTTTTTGGATTTTTGGATATTTAAAGAAATAAAATAAATTTGATTTAAAGTTAGTAAAACCTAATTATCTACATTGATTTTAAATATTGCAAAAATATTAAAAGTTATTCTTTAATTAAACTAAATTAATTGAGTTAGTATTTATTTACAAAAATAAAATGATGAATTTAATTTTAATAAATAAAATATATTTTTTGGTTTTTGATTTTATGAGAAA